AGTCATTATTCATTCCGAAACATAAGAAAACGTTTTTTTTCGAGAAACAAATCTAATTGAGAATCAAGTAAAAACTTTTGATTGGATCACGTTGCACAGAAGGGTCGAATATACCCACTCACTTTGGATATACTTACCCAAAGAATGTGTTGTGAATAATGTACTGCAACTATAGTAATAGCTCGTAGATGAAAGCATCATACACCATCTGGATGCAGGGGAGACTTATACTTACCGCCATTTTGTAGCTGTAGCCATTTCGAATTTGCATCTTCGTCAAATTGTTCTACTAGTCAAACCCTGTCATTTGATACAACAATGATACAGAATGTGTATGGTTTTGTTTAACATATTGAATGTGAGATCTTGTTGTGTTTTGATTTGTACTTGTTCCTCGATAAGTGATTTATGACTGTTGAATTTATGGACGTTCAAGTTTTCTCAAATGTCAATGCGGTTTCCCTTATTGATTTGTTTTATTAGTTTTATGTTCTCTGGTGGGGGGAAATTATGTTTGTTTTGTATGGCGTGTGTTTCAAGGTTTGATTTATATACTGTTGGATTTATGTATGCTTTTTTGTGCTCATTGTACCTTTGGATCAGTTTTTTCTTGGTTTGGCCGATATAGAATATCAGGTATCTACAAACTAAGAATAAATATGTCGAAAAGTCAATCAACTTTTTCAATGAGATTTGCGACAAATGAGAAATACACTTCAGTCAGCATCTCTTCAAAAAATCCTAAAGATGAAGCTATTTTCGTAGAATACAAACAAAAATACCAAAGTGAAATTAATTTGGCAAAACGAAACTCCTACTACCATTTTATTCGGATGTCAAATAACAAAGTCAAAAATACATGGAGACTGATCAATTTTGAACGAAACGAAATATATGGTCAATAAAAATACTACTTATATCAATCCAAATGAATTTCACATATATTTCTCAAATATAGCCGAAAATACAATTAAATCTCTTTCAGCGTGTAATACCAGTACATTAGACTATTTACGTAGTTTTTCCAAACCGTCTGATTTTTTTCATGCTTCCTGTGCTTCATGAAGGTGTAGTGGACGCAATTCATGAACTCAAAAACACAAATTGTTATGACATTCTACATTTGAACAGTTGAATCCTCAAAGAAGCTATGAACATTCTTGTAGAACCTTTAACAGTTCTCGTAAATCGCTGTTTCAGTGAAGGATATTTTCCGGATGTATTTGAAATCAGCAAGGTATCACCCATCCATAAAAAAGCAGACCCGAATTCCCCTGATACTTACTGACCTATTTCAATTATACTTTTTTGGGAAAAAACGTTGAAATTATCGTGAAAGAGCGTCTAATGCTATTTTTGAATAAACACAATATTCTACATGAACATCAATTAGAGTTCATCAGAAATAGATCCACCACCGACGCAGTACTTGAAGTCATCTAACAGGTGATTAGAAATGTGGAAAATGAAGACCATACGGTTCTAACATTGTGGGATCTGAGCAAAACTTTTGACTGTGTAAACCATTATTTACTACTAGAGAAACTTGAATTTTATGGTAACAGAGGAACAGCTTTGAAAGCAGGCAGTGTACGTAAATGATAACTTATCAGATGAAAAGTATATGAATCATAGAATAATCTATATAAATCTATATAAATGATATATTCTATTACCTTTTACCCAGTACAGCAGCCTGCTTTGCCGACGATACCATATTGTTACAATCAAATTCTGGTATCTCAAATTCACTTGTAAAAACCAATGAAACCAAAGACAAAGCAGAATACTGATTCACATCTAACAAACTGAAACCGAACAGGAAGAAAACTCAGAAAATAACTATATCTTCTAATACGCGATCAGAGCTGTTTACATGCAGAAAACAGCCATCAGAATTATAGCTGGAGCCCCATTCGACGCACTATGTCATCCATTTTTTAGAAAATTGGAAATAATGTTTTTGCCCTACATATGCTGATTTTCTACTCACATTAGAAATACATAAAAACAAAATACTTACTACTCTCCAAACACTCATGTCATCATAATTATGAAACTAGAAATGCGGGACAACTCAGGTAGCCAAGATTTACACTTGGAATATCATTACGAAATTACCTAGACGTTAAATTATTTAACAAACTTCCATATAATGTGAATAAATTGAATTTGAATTCGTTCAAATATACGAAATTGTTTTTATTCGGTACTTGATTTCATGCAATAAAAATAAGAGTACAGTCATAAACATTTCTTGCCTGTGGCCCCTAGTTGCCCAGATAGTTAGTGAACGTGCTATCAAATGTAGTTGAGGAATAAAGGCTTGGCTAGCTGGACTGGCTAAATACTAATTTTTTGTCCGTTTCACAATATTTCTTTAT